AAAGGACATGGTCTCACTTTTTTATGGTTGCATAGTATTCCGTGGAGGATATGTACCACATTTTCTTTATCCAGTCCACCTTGAATGGGCACCCAGGTTGATTCTATGGCTTGGCCGTTGTGAATACTGCTGCAATGAACATACAAATGTGAATATTTTCTCCCATTCTGTAGGTTGTCTAAGGAAACATGAACTCTTAATGAAACGATTAGCATCATTCTCTTTCTGGTGTTAAAGCAAACTAAATATGGCCTGAGAAGGACTCTGTACTTCTCCTTTTTTTAATTTGAGAAGGGGTTTCACTCTTGCTTCCCAGGTTGGAGTGCAGTGGCATAATCTTGGCTCACTGCAACCTCTGTCTCCTGGGTTCAAGTGATTCTCCTGCCTCAGCTTCCTGAGTAACTGGGGTTACAGCCATACATGCTCTGCTATGCCTGGCTAATTTTTTTGTATTTAGTAGAGACTGGGTTTCACCATGTTGGTCAGTCTGGTCTTAAACTCCTGACCTCAGGTGATCCACCCGCCTCAGCCTCCCAACGTGCTGGGATTACAGGCATGAGCACCCAGCCAGGACTTGGTACTTCTGTATTTGAGTCCTTGTGGATGAACTGTAACCTAGCTTAATAATCAGACAAGATTGAAAACCTAACAGGCATATGTGCCTGTAACTAACTGGATCCTGCCCTATCTCAGCAGCCGCACCTCAATCACTCATAGATGCTGGGTGTTCCAAATGTGTTCAAATAAGGCAAACACCAACCTGTAACCAGCCCAGCCGTTTCTGTACCTCGCTGCCGATTTCTGCACGTCATTTCCCGTTTTTTGTCCATACATCTTCCACCGTGTGGCTGCGCTGGAGTCTCCGCGAATCTGCTGTGATTCCGCGGGCTGCCCCATTCACAAATCATTCATTGCTCAATTAAACTCCTTTAAATGTAATTCAGCTAAAGTTTTTCTTTCATCACTGGTTTTCTACATGTATTTGAATAATTGCTCTTAAAATCTGTGCAGCAATAAGCATTGCTGTCAGCCTTGCTTCTGCAATTGATTTTTATGGCCTTAACCAACTTGATGAGCGTAAACTTCCTGGAGAGGGCTCCCTTGGATTTGGTGTTAACTAGAGAAGTGGTGGATGACAAGCCAGGCTGGGCCACGTGACGAGAGGAGGAACCAGCATAGTTTTACAGACACCGATTTGTTGGGCTGTTTATTACCACGACGACGCAATCAGCTTTGCTGATTCGTGTTGCTTTTTTCTATAATTTTCTTAAGAATAGACTTTCACGGTCTAGGCAATTTTAGGAGGTTCCAAGTTTTCCATCATTTCCATGTTTGTCTTTGAACAGAGTAAATGATGACGTAGGTCGGGTCACAGACGAGAGTTATCCGGCTCTTCCGGGTTATACATCGGTGATGTGTGACCCACCCAGGCAGAGAGGGGCCTTGTCAAAGGAGCTTTCCAGAAGCGAAGTTCCTTCCTTCGTTTTACTCACTGTGATCACCAGACACCTGATGGAAACCTTCATCAGGAAACTCCAGGCCAGATGCTTCTAGAATAACCTCTCAGGGTGTATTAACTCTGAAGTTTGCAAAGGCGACAAAGATGAGTTGATCACAATTGATCTACATTGGATTACATAGTTACAATTAACAGAGTTTTTGCCATACAGGAAGTAAGCAGAAGCTCCCATGTCTAAGTATAGCTAGCAGGCAGTGGGGTCTAGAAAGCGGCTGGAAACACTTAGTGAGTATGGGTAAGAGAACAGCTTTTCTTCTCAGCCAAAATCCTTTCCCTGCTCTTTTCAAACTCTGCTGATGCTTGTCTGCCTGCTCCTTATTGAATCTGTGTGGAGGTGTCACACAGTCTTTGCATCAAAGTCCCAACTACTATTTGCACAAAAATTTCAGCCTGTGTCTATCAATTTCCCAAAAACTGCAGTTGACATAGGCTGTATCAGTGACGTCCCAATGCTATCCCAGGCATATTGCTCTCTATAAAAATGACTTTCTGAAATGTATTTCAATAATCCTCTAACTCTGGGACAGTTTTTTCTTTCCATTAGAGAGGCTGAACACTGGCCGACTGCAATCTGAGGGTTCTGTGCTCTTTGTTCTGCTCTCACGGGTTTTGCTCATCCTGGAGCAATGAACATTGTGATCCTAGAAAGAGTAACTTCTTGAACTGAAAGTAGATTGTTCCCCATCAACACTCCTCTTGCCCTGCTTTTCACACTGTGGGGCAGTTTCACTTGAAAAGTATTTATGGGGTGCTTGTTACATCTGGCTAGGCGCCAGCGAGATAAAGAGGAACAGGACGTGGCCCCTGCCTTCAGGCGCATATGACCTAATGGGGAAATAAGAACTGTACAATTAGCACAATATGGTGAAAGCATGCTGTTGATGCTATGTATGCACAGAGGAAGGGTCATAGCGGGTTGTGCTGGGGAAGGGAGGGAGGTATGCTAGTTCCCTATGTGCCATACAAAGAATCACAAACTTGGTAGCTAAAAGCAACACACATTTATTTTCTTACAGTTCTGCAAGTCAAGACCCTAAACGGGTTTCACTGGCCAAAACCAAAGTGCTGGAAAGGCTGTGCATCCCTGGAGGCTTTAGGGGATAAGGCATTTCTTGCCTTTTCCAGCTTCGAGAGCTGCACTCCTTGGCTCATGGCCCCTTCCTCCATCTCCAAGGCCAGCATCTGCAAATTTCCATCTGTTCCACCTCCCCATCCCCTTCTCCTCTTCCGTGGAATCCAATCTGTCTCCCTCTCATAAGAACACTTCTGCTTGTATTTAGTGTCCACCCAGGTAATCCAGGATAATCACCCTATCTCAAGTACTTTACAACTGCAAAGTCTCTTCTGCTATATATGGTAACATTCACAGGTTCCAGGATCCAGATCTGGATTTTGGGGGGACCATGAGACAGCCTTTTCAGGAGGCAATGTGAGGGAGACAGGAACAGCATTTCTGACAGGAGGAACAGCATAAGAGGGCACAGTGGTATGACTCAATGCAGAGCATGCAGAACCCATGTGGCTTAGAGTTGTGGTATGAGCATCAGGTATGAGGTGATGGGGAAGAGCCAGGCTGCAGCGGGTATCATGTGCCATGTGAAATCATTTGGGTTTATTTCATAGGATCTAAGGAGTCTTGGAAGGTTTTTAAGGAGGGCCGTGATGTGGTCAGCTGAATGGTATAGAGAGATCATTGTGTGGGATAGATTCAGGCAGGCAGATACCACTGAAAAATCATGAGAGTCAGAACCAGGAGGGGAATTAAGATGAGAACTGTGTTATATAACAAAAGAAGTTTCCAGGTGAAATTAACAGGAACTATCACTAATTGGATGGTGGAGTGAAAGGAAGAGAGGAATCTGGGATGATCCCAAGCTTTTTGCCTGAGTTGACAGTGGCTCATTAAATGTAATAAGTACAGAAGAAAAAAATATATGCTCAAGGAAGGAAAAACTGGCATTTAGTTTGAGTCTGTGGAATTTGAAGATAACTTGTGGGTAGGATTGGCTTTCTGGGTATGTGACCTGTGCAGGCACTCAGGGCCCCACACTTAGGAGAGGCCCCCAGCTTAGCTCATGCTCCACTGTCACCATCTTGAAAGTCTTAGTAGTTTTTGAACAAAGGGCACCATATTTTTTTTGTACACTTGGTCCCATAAATTCTTGAGTCAGTTCTGCCTGTGAATGATCTCAGAATCTAGGCAAGTGCCTCTGTCTTCAGAGGAAGTTTCCAGCAGAGTTTCCCTTAGACATGTGGACTCAGCCCCTCCTGGAGAGACCATTTAGACTGGGCTGCAGCAGCTCAGAGCTTTCCCAAGTAACACCTCAAGGCCAACAGCATGTGCCTTAAGAGAAAGCCAAATATCCCGAATTAAAGGGCTCCTGGTCAAAATTTAATAAACAAAAAAGGCCTTGATTTGGGCTTCTTTTCCACCAGCCTCAGCTCTGATGCTAACAGAAGTTAAAGAGAGCCTGAAGGGTTTTTATATGACTAACTTTGGTGAGCAGAGGAGCTAATTCTTACGGAACTTGTTAATTCCCTTAGACTCAACACTTCCAATACCTCCCAAGACGGCAGGAGAGCAGATGTCCACATTCAGAGGTGAAGGGTGCTAGATTTATCTTAGTGTAAACTGGAAAGTCCCTAGAATAAGAGGAAGAGGTACTTTTCCCCTTCCTTGCTCTGTTAATCCATTTTCACACTGCCAATGAAGACACATCCAAGACTTCCGTATTAGCTGACCCCACTCCCCAAATCCAGCCTGACAGTCATCTGCATTCTTCCTCCAATTCCTCTCAGTCTGAGGAAAGGAAAAAGTGTTAAAAATACAGATTACGAGGGACGCATAAAGAAAAGGTTGTAAAGGAGCACTGTGGGTGGTTGGAACCATCGGAAATCAGGGAGTCACAAGCTGTGAGATGACAACTTCCCAACTTCCCAACTTCCCAATGTCCCTCTGCCATTCTGCACCCTGCCCTCACTGACATGCCAGGCTTCCTGGTCACCTCAGCACCAGTTGGGTATGTCTTCTTTTTATGTTTGTTGAGAAAAGGTCTCACTCTGTTGCTCAGGCTGGAGTGCAGTGGCACAATCTCAGCTCACTGCAACCTCCGCCTCCTGGGTTCAAGCAATTCTCCTGCCTCAGCTTCCCAAGTAACTGGGGTTACAGACGTGCAGCACCATGTCCGGCTAATTTTTGTATTTTTAGTAAAGATGAGGTTTCTCCCTGTTGGCCGGGCTGGTCTCGAACTCCTGACCTCAAGCGATCCACCCGGCTCAGCCTCCCAAAGTGCTGGGGATACAGGTGTGAGTCACCGTGCCCGGCCCAGGTGTGTCTTTATGATACTGAAGATGCATGAGAAGGGCTTCATGGGCAGGGTTCAAAGTTCAAAACGAGAATTTGGATCTGTGCCTGGTCCCATGTCAGTGTTCTCGTTTTGTTTCATTGTTTGTTATTTGTTTGTTTGTTTTAAGAAGGGAAACCACTTGGACTGTGTCCTCTTCTTACTCTCCCGGAGGAAAAGAAGATCTTCATCAATGCCGAATGGCAGGTGCAACAAAGCCCCTCTGAGAGCTGGCTTCGTGCTCAGGAAAGAGCACGCCAGGTCCCGCTCCTGGCATCTAGCTCTGCGCGATCAGAGAAACTGCCTCAGCAGAGAGCTGGAGACGTGAACTCTGCAAGCACAGCCCTCACGCATGCGCACTCTCAGGGGCACGGGGTGACAGCCATGGCTGGGCCGATTATGATGTGGGGAAAGCTGGCCTTCACAGCCTGCTTGCTCTCTCATTCTCAGTCTCTCAGTCTCTCTCTCTGTCTCTCTCTCTCTCTGTCTTTCTCTGTCTCTGTTTGTCTCTCTGTCTCTCCCTTTGTCTCTCTCTCTCTTTGTTTCTGTCTCTGTCTCTCCTTTTTCTGTCTGTTTCTCTCTCACTGTCTCTGCGTGTGTCTCTCTCTGTCTATGTCTCCCTCTCTTTCATCTGTCTGTCTCTTATTCTGGTCTCTTACTCTGCTTCTCTCTCTGTCTCTCTCTTTCTCTTTGTCTCTCTTTCTCTCTACTTCTCTTCCTCTCTCTGTTTCTCTCAATCTCTGTCTCTGTCTCTTTCTCTCTCCCTGTCCCCTTCTCTGTCTCTCCCTTTCCCTTTCTCTTTCTCTTTCCCTCTCTCCTTTTCTCTGTTTCTTACTGTCTCTGTGGGTCTCTATGTCTCTCTCTCTTTCTGTCACTCTGTCTTACTCTGTCTCTGTCTCTCCCTTTCTCTTTCTCTTTCCCTCTCTCCTTTTCTCTGTTTCTTACTGTCTCTGTGTGTCTCTGTGTCTCTCTCTCTTTCTGTCACTCTGTCTTACTCTGTCTCTGTCTCTCCCTTTCCCCTTCTCTTTCTCTTTCCCTCTCTCCTTTTCTCTGTTTCTTACTGTCTCTGTGTGTCTCTATGTCTCTCTCTCTTTGTGTCACTCTGTCTTACTCTGTCTCTGTCTCTCCCTTTCTCTGTTTTTCTCTACTTCTATTTCTGTTTCTCTCCTGTCTGTCTCTGTCTCTCATCTCTCTCCTTTTTCTGTCCCACTGTCTCTGTCTCTCTCCTTTCTCTTTCTGTTTCTATGTTTCTCTCTCCCCCCTCTCCTCTCTCTCTGTCTGTATCTCTCTGTCTCTCTCTCTCTCTGTCTGTATCTCTCTGTCTCTCTCTCTCTGCACTCTGGCATCTTCAAACCTGCCCACCTCCTCCAGCATCTTGCTCTCAGCTGACTGCTATAAAACAACGCTTAAGACTCTCCCTGGTAAAGGCTTAAGACTCTATTCTCTCTTCAGAGTTACTTTCAGGATTTTCTGTATATCTATCAGAACCTGTTATTGAGAAACACTGCTTTCTGTCCAGAGCATCACCCACCTCGACAGCTGCCTTCTTCAAGGAGAAAAATATCTCAAAAAATCACTTAGTGTATTTTTGCATCCAGTGTGGTTGCTGCAAGGATAATTCATCTTTATTAAATGTCAGATATGCAAATTATTCTTAAGAAAAACTAGTGTGCAGAAATTAGGCTTGGCTTTTTAACACCTTCTGCATATGGTGCCCCAGTAGGACCAAGGGTGTCTTCCTGGTTATTTTGATGGGGAGAGGGAAATGAATTTGGGCAAAAACTAGCGGTAGTGGGAGCCGGTGGATTCTGCAAAGCAGAAAGTAGGAGATAGCAGAGTTGGGAAGAGTCTAGGAGGTGGAGTGACAGAAATTATGGGGTCTGCTTTGCAGAGGAGAAAACAGAAGAATGAATGAATGAATGAATGAGATTATGAAGGGATTTCTCTGGAAGACTTCAGATAATGGCTAGATTACATTTGCCTGAAGCCAAAATGTTAGATCCTGAACTAAAGATCTGGCACACAGCTACTTTTCAAAGGCTTCCAAACACAACTCATGGTCATGCCTCATAGTCTTTGTGGAAACCATTCTCCTGCCTGAAATGCTCTCCTTGGGCTGGCTCTCTGAGTTCCTGAGCATCCTCTAAGAGTTAACCAAAATATCCCTGCCCCTGAGATGCCTCTCTGACCTGTGATGACTCCTCGTTTCCAGGCATTCTCTTTCTGCTGTGCTTTCAAAATACTGGGTATGTAGGTCTATTAATATCCAGCACTCTTTATTACATTGTTTATTTGGTTTATTTGATGTAAGCTCCTTGAAAGCAGAGAATACACATATTTTATCTTGGAGTATCCAGCCCCTGGCATAATGCCTAGAAAGCAGTGAATGTCAATAAATTCTCCATAAATAAGGAGAAAATAACATGAAGATTCCAGAAGAGAATGGGAGATGTTTCATTGAGTCAATCTGATGAAAATTATGATACACACCTATCATTTAATTCTATGGAGTTGATATTCAGAGAGTCCTGGGTATATTCTTATATTTTGATATAGTAAAAGGCAAAATGCTGGGAAATAAATCTGAAGGAGAAGAGGGAGCATTTGGCTTTGAATTGCAGGAGCCCCATATCCGGGGGAAAAATTATGTCCTCTTCCCCCAGGTGGTGATAGTGAGAAGTTACATAAGAGAAGAATTGGCTGATTGAGCATGAAGACATCTCCATTGCTGGCACTTTTAGCACAAATGGCACTGAGAACCTGGGTGGGGCATCTCTGTGAAGACCTTGCTCAAATGCCAAAGGCTTTCTCACCCTTCCCAAAGACAGGCAGGGCAGACCATTCCCGGGAATCAGAGCAGCTTGCACATGCCTGACAAGTTGCCCTGGCATGCCGTCACTAACTCTAGCTCTAAATTGGTGGTTCTTTGATGGGCACGATGGCTCACGCCTGTTATCCCAGTACATTGGGAGGCTGAGATGGGCAGATCACCTGAGGTCAGGAGTTCAAGACCAGCCTGGCCAACATGGCAAAACCCCATCTTTACTTAAAATACAAAAAATTAGCCAGGCATGGTGGCGGGCACCTGTAATCCCAGCTACTCGGGAAGCTGAGGCAAAAGAATCAGTTGAACCCAGGAGGTAGAGGTTGCAGTGAGCCAAGATTGCACCAGTGCACTTCACCTTGGGTGACAGAGTGAGACTCCATCTTAATAAAATAATAAATACAGTGGTGATTCTTGCCCAGAGAATATTTTGCTTCTTCCCCCAAGGGATACTTGGAGATGTCTGAAGATATTTGGAGGTGTTATAACTAGTATGGAGGGAGTTGCTACTAGCATCTAGGAGGTAGAGGCCAGGGGTGCTGCTAAACATTTTACGGTGCACAGAGCAGCCCCCTCTCCCTCTCCCAAATAATTATCTGGCCCCAGATGTAAATAATCCTGAGACTAAAAAACCCTGTTCTAAATGATGTCATGGAAGATGTTACTCATTCTCAGAAACACCATGACAGAAACTCTCAGCTCTAAAACACTCCACCCAGTTCTTGGGATTGGCGCACCCTGAAGCATCCTGAAGCAACCTCAGCAGATTCTGGGTCAAGTAATGCAACCACTCCAAACAGTCACAGTGGTAATCACCTCCCACTTTCTCCATTTATTTACTCTTATGTGGAGGCCTTGCCTTATGCTCCATTGAGAAATTATTGGCATGTCTCTCATCTTTCTCTTTTTTCCAATTCACCTGCACTGGCAACTGCTCTCACCTTTGTGTCTTCAGTCTCCATGGTTGATATCTCCACCTGAACTAGAGCCCATCCTGTCTGGACTCCTCCAAGATCTTGCTCTACCAGTTTTCAAGTCTTTTTACTTCCAAATTCTTCAGAATCTTTGGCTCCTTCCCTTAGTCTATAAATATGCATTAGACTGCATCCTTTAAAAAAATTAGCTGGGCATAGTGTTTCTCACCTCTAATCCCAACTACTCAAGAGGCCAAAGTGAGTGGATCACTTGAGCCCAGGAGGTCGAGGCCAGCCTGGGCAGCATAGTGAGACTCCATCTCTAAAAACATCATAATAAAGAGTAGAATATTTTAATGTTAATGGAGTCTAGCTTATCAGTTCTTTCTTACATGGACTGTGCCTTTTGGTGTTACATGTAAAATGTCTAGGGTCATCTAGATTTTGTCTTGTGCTGTCTTCTAAGAGCTTTATAGTTTTGTGTTCTACATTTAGGTCCGTGACTCTTTTTGATTAATTTTTGTGAAGGGTGAAGGGTCTGTGTCTGGATTCATTTTCTGCATACAGATGTCCAGTTGTTTCAACATTCTTTGTTTAAATGACTACCTTTCTCCATTGTATTGCCCTTGATTTTTTGTCAAAGAGAATGTCTACTGTCAAGAGGATAAAAAGACTAGCCACAGAAGGAAATATATGCAGAAGACATTTCAGATGAAAGACTGTTATCTAAAATATACAAAGAACTGTTAAGCTCAGCAAGAAGAACACAAACATGATTTAAAAATGGGCCAATGAGCCAAGCATGGTGGCATGCTCCTACAGCTACCCAGGAAGCTGAGCAGGAGGATCACTTGAGGCTAAGAGTTTCAGACCAGCCTGGACCGCATAACAAGAACCCATCTCTAAAAATAAAAATAAAAGTAAAATATAAATAAATGTTTTAAAAATATTTTTTAAATGAACCAAAGACCTTAATGGACACCACACCAAAGAGGATATGCAAATGGAAAATAAACATATGAAAAGATGCTCCCCATCACATACCATCAGGGAAATGCAAATTAAAACAATAATGAGCTACTACAACACACCTATTAGAATGGCCAAAATTGAGAATACTGACAACACCAAATGCTCCTGAGGATGTGGAGCAATAAGAACTGTCAATGCATTGCTGGGAATGCAAAATGGCACAGACAGTTCAGAAGACAGTTTGGCAGTTTTTCCCAAAACTACACATGCTCTTACCATACATCCAGCAACCATGCTTCTTGGTATTTAATGGAAGGAGTTGAAAACTTATATCCATACAAAAACCTGCACACAAATGTTTATGGCAGCTTTATTCATAACTGTCAGAACTTGGAAGCAACCAAGATGTCCTTTGGTGGGTGAATGGATAAACTACTACAGCCACCCAAACTTTCAGCAGCCGCTACCCTGATCAGTCAGAAGCCATTAGCATCTTGGCAAGACCTTTCACCAGCAAAAAGATTATAGCTCACTGAAGGCTCAGATGATCATTACCATTTTTTTAGCAATAAAGTATTTTTATTTAATGTATGTACCTTTTTTTTTTTTAAAGACGGAGTTTCGCTCTTTTTACCCA